GTTAGGACATTGGACTCTGAATCCAGTAACCCGAGTTCAAGTCTCGGTGGAACCTATTTTTCTTTTTTTTTTTGGGGGAAAATGCTTCTGCACCTAATATTAAAAAACAAATATGTCCACCTTAAGGCTCTGTTTGGCAAAACTAGCTGAAAGCTACGAGATTATAGCTGAAAGCTGTTAAGCTAGCTGAAAGCTGTGAAATTATAGCTGAAAGCTGTTAGCTGTATAGCTAGCTGATTGACTAGAGCTGTTTGGCAAAAGTAGCTGTACAACTAGCTTAAATTTGTTAAATGACTAAAAAGACATGCAATATTATTGATATAAAATTAGAATTATTAGGGGTAAAAATGGAAGAAAAAAATTGGCAGCTCCTTCCCAAAGACAAACGCTACTTGAGGTAGCTTTCCAAAAGCTACTTGTAAAAGACACAATCTTTAAAATAATCTCCTCCTATTTTTGGTTACCAAACAGCTCTACTAGCTTATTGACCAAGTCAATAAGACACAAGCTCTTAGATAAGACACTTTTTTTGGTTGCTAAGTCAACATGGCAAAAGCCCCCTAAATTCATATTTTTATGCTCTTACCTCCAAATCTAATGCCATCTAAATATTATTTTTCTTTTCCCCATAGTACCACTACGGCGAAATTTCACAAAACTACCATGAAATTTGAAGTATCTTGCAAAAAAATGTTATATTTTTCATTGGGATATATTGTCATGAATGTTTTTTCTACTACATTATCATCGTTGATTAAAATTAGGGAAATTTGTCACGTGTTTCACACATAATATGTTTTTCACAGTTTTGTCTTCGGGTAAAAAATCTTTTTTTTAAATGATGGATTACATACAAGTAATCCAGCCAACTAAATTAATAAACTGGTTGTTACATATAATATGCACATTCCCAACCCAAAAATGTGCACACAGATCCAACCTCGGGTAAAAAATCTTATACTAAATGTTACGGGTTGGTAGGTACAAATAAGGATAGTTTAAACTTTCTTCTTGAAAAAGGGATAGTTTACACTTAGGGCCTGTTTGGTTGGTTTCCTAAAATCAAAGAAAAGGAAATCGGTACAAGGAAATCAATAAAATAATATTTTTATCTATTTTCATCCATAAAACTCACCCATAACATCCAATAAAATATTATTTTTATCATCCAACTCATGTCATTTCATCTCCTTTCTTACCTTTAAGGGTCTGTTCGTTTGCCTTAAAAAAATGGGAAATCAAAGAAATAGAAAACTATTTCTAAGAAGAAATGTTTTGGGAGTGTTTGGTTTGCTAAAAAAAGAAGGAAATCAAAAAAATAAAGATAAGATGAGATGAGTTGTCATCTTATTATAGGATGATGTGAGTGTTTTTTTAAGAAAACTTGTTTTGAGATTTCTTGGTTGGCGAAAAAAAGAAGGAAATGAATTATAAGAAACATATTTCTTGTAATAGGTTGTTTTCTTTTGTTTGGTTATTTCTTAAAAATAAGAAAATAGATGAGATGAGATGAGTTGTCATTATATTATTGGATGATGTGACCCACACTTAAGGAAATTGTTTTTCTAGCTTTTTGGGAGGAAAACAAATAAATAAAATGTTAATGAGATGAGATGAGTTGTCACAATCTTATTGGATGATGTGAGTGATTTTTAAATATGAGATGAGATGAGTTGAGTGATGTTGTGGATGAAAATAATATTTTATTAGATGTGGTGGATGTGATGGATGAGTTGTTGGATGAAAATAATATTTTATTAGATGTGGTGGATGAGTTGTTGGATAAAAATAATATTTTATTAGATGTGAGTGAGTTTTAGGGATGGAAATGTGTGAAATTGTTTTTTTTTTTTTTTTGAGATTTCTTGGTTTTCATTTCTATCTTTTGGTTTTTTAGGAAATAACCGAACAGACCCTAAAAATAAACCAAACACAAGAAATGTGTCACATCATCCAACTCATCACATCTCATCTTAGGGGCTGTTTGGTTGGTTTCCTAAAAACCAAGAAAAGGAAATCGGTACAAGGAAATCAATAAAATAATATTTTTATCCATTTCCATCCCTAAAACTCAGCACAACATCTAATAAAATATTATTTTTATCCTCCAACTCATCTCATTTCATCTCCTTTCTTACCTTTAAGGGCCTGTTTGTTTTGCTAAAAAAAAAGGGAAATCAAAGAAATGGAAAACTATTAAAATGAAGAATTGGTTTGGGAGTGTTTGGTTTTCTAAAAAAAGAAGGAAATCAAAAAAATGGAGATGAAATGATGTTAGTTGTCATATTATTATTGGATGATGTGAGTGATTTTTTAAGAAAACTAGTTTTGATGTTGTTTGGTTGGCGAAAAAAATAAGGAAATGAATTATAAGAAACCTATTTCCTATAGTTTGTTGTTTTCTTTTGGTTTGGTTCATTCTTAAAAATAAGAAATGAAATGAGATGAGATTAGTTGTCATTGTATTATTGGGTGATGTGATCCAAGATTAAGAAAAGTGTTTTCACAACTTTTTGGGATGAAAACAAAGAAATAAATGTTAATGAGATGAGGTGAATTGTTATAATATTTTATTGGATGATGTGAGTGATTTGAAATGATGAAAAGAGATGAGTTAAGTGATGTTTGGATGAAAATAATATTTTATTAGATGTGATGAATGAGTTGTTAGATGAAAATAATATTTTATTAGATGTGATGGATGAGTGGTTAGATGAAAATAATATTTTATTAGATGTGATGAATGAGATGAGATTAGTTGTCATTGTATTATTGGGTGATGTGATCCAAGATTAAGAAAAGTGTTTTCACAACTTTTTGGGATGAAAACAAAGAAATAAATGTTAATGAGAATGAGGTGAATTGTTATAATATTTTATTGGATGATGTGAGTGATTTGAAATGATGAGAAGAGATGAGTTGAGTGATGTTTGGATGAAAATAATATTTTATTAGATGTGATGAATGAGTTGTTAGATGAAAATAATATTTTATTAGATGTGATGGATGAGTGGTTAGATGAAAATAATATTTTATTAGATGATGTGGATGAGTTGTTAGATGAAAATAATATTTTATTGGATGTTGTGGGTGAGTTTTAGGGATGGAAATTGAGGAAATAGTCCTTTTTGAGATTTTCACCTTTTCCATTTCCATTTCTTGGTTTTTCTTGGTTTTTAGGAAATAACCAAACAGGCCCTAAAAATAAACCAAACACAAGAAATGTGTCACATCATCCAACTCATCACATCTCATTTTATCTCATTTTTAAAAATCACACACATCATCCAATAATATTGTGACAACTCATCTCATCTCATTAAACATTCCTTTCCATCCATTTCCTCAAAAAAAAACAAGAAATTGGTTTCCTTAAGTACGTGTCACATCATCCAATAATATATCTCCAACTCATCTCATCTCATCTATTTTCTTATTTTTAAAAACGAACCAAACACAAACAATCTCAAAACATCATCCAATAATATACCTCCAATTCATTTCCTTATTTTTTTAACCAACCAAACAACCTCAAAACAAGTTTTTTTAAAAAACCACTCACATCATCCAATAATAAGGTGACAACTCATCTCATCTCATCTCCTATTCTATAATTTCCTTCTTTTTTAAGCCAACCAAACAACTTCAAAACCATTATAATAGGAAATAGGTTTCCTATTTTTTGATTTCCAGGTTTTTTTGGCCAAACGAACAGCCCCTTATCTCATTTTAAAAATCACACACATCATCCAATAATATTGTGACAACTCATCTCATCTCATTAAACATTCATTTCTCCAATAATATTGTGACAACTCATCTCATCTCATTAAACATTCATTTCCATCCATTTCCTCAAAAAAAACAAGAAATTAATTTCCTTAAGTATGTGTCACATCATCCAATAATATACCTCCAACTCATCTCATCTTATCTATTTTCTTATTTTTAAAAATGAACCAAACACAAACAATCTCAAAACATCATCCAATAATATACCTCCAATTCATTTCCTTATTTTTTTTAACCAACCAAACAACCTCAAAACAATTTTTTTTTTAAAAATCACTCACATCATCCAATAATAAGGTGACAACTCATCTCATCTCATCTCCTATTCTATAATTTCTTTCTTTTTTAAACCAACCAAACAACCTCAAAACAATTATTATAGAAAATAGGTTTCCTATTCTTTGGTTTCCCATTTTTTTTGCGAAACGAACAGCCCCTTATCCAAGACTAACACCGTTAACAAAAAAAAAAAAAAAACCCAATAATTTATGACACCTTTTGCAGTTTTGAGAGTTCATAATAGTTCTCTCTAAAAAGGTTCAGGTAGTTTTGTGCAAAAATCCATACATCAAATACCGAGACTATTAGGCGGGAAAAAAAATTAGCCCATAATATTGATGATACGTACATCAAACAGAACTATACCAGCAAAATTTGCTCAGATCATACCTCAGGGGCTGTTTGGTTGTATGTTTTTACCATGTAAAAGGATGGAAAGTGTAAAAAAGTGGGTCCCAATGTCAGCTTTCATCACTTTCGATTGTTTGTTTATAGTTGTAAAAATAGTATAAAGTGATTTCATATGCTGATGTGGCTTGTAAAGTGATTTCATAAAAAAAAGACATGATTTTAGGAGAAAGCTGACATTGAAGTCAGGAAAAAATAATAAAAAATAATTCTAACCAATATGATCATTTGAGTAGGGACCACTTTTTACACTTTCCAAACAAGCAATTAAAGTTATATTTTCAAACCAAACAAGCAATTTATGATTCCAATGGAATCAAAAACAAACAAAGAAAAGTATAAAAGTAAAATTGATGAGGTGGACAACAACTTTCCAAGTTGTGTCATAAATACACAACTTTACCAACAACAACCAAACAGCCCCTCAGTGTTACAGCTACTGTTGACTGGATTTTTTTTTTCAAATGTCAGACATCTCTTCTATAGCTCTAGTGCAGTTCATTGCAGGTTTTATATGCATATGCAGGGGAAGCCAATAAATTTGATCTTTTGCAAGATATTGCCACATAATTCCGAGAGTTAAAACTTAAGAGAACTCAACGAGAACATACAAAGATCTTGAAAACATTAAGATGTTCATACTCAGCGAAATCTAGCTTGATTTACTACTTATGCTCTTTTTCCACTGTTAGGGTTCGATTTTGTGCAGAGAACCTTTCTTCCCTTGGCGCGTCGCCTCTTCAACACAGCCCTGCCACTGGTAGTCCTCATTCTCCTTCTGAATCCATGAGTCCGAGCGAGTGATTTCCGAGATCTTGACCTTTTAGTCAAGCAGAGAGCAGCTTTCCCTGCCCTCACTTGAAGTCCTCGATATCTCTGTTTTACTGCTGTATTAGAACTCAAATCGATCCCCAGAGATATGCCTGAAAAAGAAAAAGAAATTTTAGAATCTATAAGAGAATAGCACTTGTTTTAGTGTATGCGTCACACTGTAAGAAACTATTTCCCTGAATAGATGATATACTAAATACCTGTTATTGGAACATGTAAACGAAATGGCCGTCCACGAATGAAATTTTTATGTAGCAATTCTAGTCAAAACTATACTGCAAAGGTGAATGCTAGGGACAGTAATTCTCGATGCGGCCTGTAAATATGTGTGTACTAGTAAAAGGCATATTGCATTAGGGATCATATCACGGAACAAAATACGTACCCTCTGCATGCCAAAATGTGGGTATGGACCCGCATATTTCACCCATCGGTAAGATGCTAAGCTATGGATCAAGTAGTCGTCCCCTGAAACCTAAAAAGTTTGAATGTGGGTAGAGTCCAATGACCCGTTTTGACCTGTTGGTAACTATGTTGTAGCTCTGGTATCATTTTGTACTGTTAATTCTGTATGGGGTCATCTAGATGATGATTTAATTTCTAAATTAGGGGCTTCAAGTACCAAAAACAGCAGTTTGAAACGGTTAATAGGATATAACTAAAAAGATTAGTTTTAACTTTTAAGTGACTACCCAGATAAAAAGAAAAAGAGAACAAAATGTGGGTTAGATGGGTCAAGATTTTTCGCCTCCCAGAGGGCTCGTTCAGGTATGGATCAAGCCCATCCATTAATGAGTAGCTTGATCCAAGATTCCAACCAGATTCCTACCAGATCAAGGCATTTCCCTAATAATCAAATGCCCACATGATATCAAACTATCAGCCTTAAGAAAGCAGATTCCGTACTTCATCAGCATAACAGAAAATGTGAAGCCTGAAGTTGATGTTATGTTAACACAGGTCAACTACGAGTGAGGTAAGAAATAGGGGCTTAAAAAGAAGAAGCTACTTGTGAGTAGTCCGCGTTAGGTTCGTTCAATTAGAAAACAAGAGAACCTGAGCTAGTCAGGTGTGTCTTGAATAAGCTTGAATCCTGATGAGGTTTGCTTAATCATGTGATATTTAAGTATAAATCATATAACTAACATGGAAATGTATATGCATGTATGTCTGCTATACAAAAAGTTTGCATGTTAGAACCTATTAATGATGCTAATGAACCTTTACCATATATTTTTAATACATAGTTAATACATTGACACTGATCATTTATGAAAAAGCTGGTGAACTTTGTTCAAAACGAGTTGCGGTAATATAAAGGCTGAACTCCCAGGGCCACCAACACAAGTTGTCAACAACTTGAGTCAGTTTGATTTGTATAGCTCAATTTTAGTTCGTTTATATCTGCTCAAATCTATAAACAAAAGCCAAACTCAAACAAAGCTGGCTTGTTCAAGTTAGGCTCGATAACATCCCTAGTTAGAAAATAGAAGCTAATATTCTCCTCTTTCAGATTTTGGTTAAGAAGTTCAACAATTCCTATGAGTTTCATTGATGAATTCAAACAATCCATTCACGTGCACTTCCTAGCGACGCTTCCGAAACACGATCTGGTTTTTGTTCATTTTCTCTAGGTATTTGGCTGAAGCTGTTTTGTCCAAGGATCAAATATGTAAGACGACGACTAGTATGAACCAAACCAATATATTGTTCTGTTCCTGAGTCTAACAATACTAACAAACTCCAAGCACTTTGACTGGTCTCATCATCATCGAAACTGTTTGTGATAAAAGTAAGATTGGCTACTTGGCAAAACAAAGCTTAGAATGCTTCACGAAGAACTAAACAAGTCTAGAACAAGCCGTCAGCCTGATGTCAACTCTTCACATGACCATTTTCATTGAGAACCATAAGCGCCATCAAAAACTACACAACTAATCCTTTTAACAATTGGTTAGCTCGACTCGGCATGCATACACCATCAGGCTATAAATTATGAGCAACATTTTTAAGTGTGACCCTTATTTCAAAATTTATAGCAATAAAGAGGAGGGTTCTCAAATTACAAGGGGGACTCATCATACTGAACACTGGTGGTAAATGGTTACCCGTTACCATACATCATAAAGGGACTCCACGAACGAAAATGTTCCAAGAAAATTGAGCAGACTTTTAACCAGATGAATCTACTGAAAGCACAAAAGAAAACATTGTGAAATCTAAAGGACTTGGGGGCTTCTTCAGATCGAACATTGGGGCGTCAACATATTGCCATTTCATGATGTATGCTAACAAGAGAAAAATTAACCAAACGGGTCCTCTCAAAACTCGCAGGAAAATATTAGGCATCATAAAGGGGCTCTACAAAATTAAAACTAATTCAAACAATAAGAAATAAATTTAAATGAAACGGGTCTTCTCAAAATCACAAGTGCAAGACCTACAAACTCGGCCAAATAAAATGGGACAAAAAATTTAAAATTTTTTTACTAGATTAAGAAAAAAAATTAGAAACCCACACTACTAAGCCATTTGAAAGCATCAAGAGCAAAATCAACCAAAAGGGTCTCTCTAAAATCGCAAAAAAAAAAAAAACTCCAGAAACTAAAATGAATTCACCAAGGGGCAATGCTTACCAGAGAAAGAGGAAGGAAAGGAGATGGAGGTTGAAGCGGGCGAGAGGAAAGAGCTCTGGAGGAGAGAAGGGGAGCGCAAAGATGAGATCTTTGAAACTAAGAGAGAGCCCCTGCCCCCGATTCTGTTTGTGCCGTTGAGGAGAGAGAGTGAAGCCACTGGGAGCAAAGAGAGCGCCATAGCTTGGAACTGTTTCGTTTCTCGCTTCGCTTCGAGGGAGAGGAGCCTTATCGAGATAAGGGAGGATGTTGGGTGGGGGGCTACTCTTGTTTAATTTTGGATAAATGGTGACCGTAGATCTTGTTACAATTAGGCTAAATTGCACTTTTATGCTATGTTTGGGATTTTACTAAGGAAAAGGATGGAAAGTTAAATAATGAAAAGGAAATATAGGGAATGGAAGTGAAAAGATAAAATGTTGTTTGGGAGTTTAGTAAGGGAAACGGAAGTAAATTTGTTTTACCTTATTTGGGAGTTCTAATAAAAAAGGGCTAAATACCCATATTGTTATTTTAATTCCACCTCATTTATCAAGAAGGTATTTTAATTAGGCAAACCTGCTTTAAGGCATTTTAATTGATTCAACTTACCAACAATGCTATTTTTCTCATCAGCAACCAGTTTTCCGGCGAGAACTCGTCACGTGCGTGACACATGATGACGTAAACTGTTTTTTAGCTGCTAATGTGACACGAATCTGTCCTATTTTGGGTGAATTGGGATTTTTAGAGGGTTAATTCCCGCCTTTAAACACCGCCACGCCAGAAAATCTGTGCCACATCAGCAGCTAAAAAACAGTTTAAGCTATCATGTGCCACGCACGTGACGAGCTCTCGCCGGAAAACTGGTCGCCGACGAGAAAAATGGCCTTGTTGGTAAGTTGAATTAATTAAAATACCTTAAAGCATGTTTACGTAATTAAAATACCTTCTTGGTAAATGGGATAGAATTAAAATACCAATATGGGTATTTAGCCAATAAAAAAGAGAAAAGTAAAGTGAATATGTATAAAGTTACATAAGTACTCTTACATATTAGATGTGAGTATATATTATCCATTGATTTTAATGTCATAAGTGTATAATTGTTTTATCACATTGTAAAATTTTATATTGGTTTCCATTCCATCCTCTACCCCCCAAATTGGAGGGGAGGAAAATGAAAGAAAATTTAACCTTCCATTCCATCTTATAACCCCTTTAAAAACTCCCAAACAAGGTGAAATTAAAATTTTACTTTAACTTCCATACATTAACCTTCATCCAAACAAAGTGTAAGGGAAGGAACGTAAAGTTAAATAATGGAAAGAAATGTAGGGAATGGAAATGAAAAGATAAAATATTGTTTGGGAGTTTAGTAAGGGGGACAGAAGTAAATTTGGTTTATCTTGTTTGGGAGTTTTAATAAAGAGGAAGGAAGTGAAGTGAATATGTATAAAGTTACATAAATGTCCTTACATATTGGATGTGAGTATATCTTAGCCATTGATTTTAATGTCAAAATAGTATAATTGTCTTATCACATTGTAAAAGTTTATATTGGTTTCTATTCCATCCTCTATCTCCCCAAATTGGAGGGGAGGAAAATGAAAGAAAATTTAACCTTCCATTTCATCCTCTAACCCCTCAAAAAAACTCCCAAACAAAATGAACTTAAAATTTTACTTTAACTTTCATCCATTAACCTCCAACCAAACAAGGTGTTAAGGTGCTATATTTCACTTAAAAAAAATGCTATACTTTCACCAACCTTGCATTTAAATGTCTCCTGTTTTAAAAAGCACTTAAATGTTTATTGTTTTCTCCGTCAGAAAACAATGAGATTTTTTCATAAAGACGAAAATCTTCTATTAAATTAACTCGCGCATAGTTATTAGCCCCATCAAAAGTAAAAGAATGCCAATTTTTCACCTCCGCCAAATCCTCTGTGCCGTAGAAAAGAAATTGGGGAAGAAATCTGCGTTAACGGAATTGTGGAATTTGGATTTTGAAGATAAAATGAAAGAGAGGGTTAAAATTAGATGAAAAGAGATAGTATAAGAAGGGGTGGTTCAATTGTAATTTGGATGAACTTTATGGGTATAAAATTGTAGAAAAATACCAACTTATAGCTGAAATGAGTACATTCCACGAATATTCTAACGGCTAAATAAAAGAGGACATCAACGTGTAACATTTTAAAACTTTAGGGTATTTAAGTGTATGATTTAATAACTTTAGGTTAGTGGTTTTAAAATAAGATGCATTTAAGTGCAAGTTTGGTGAAAATATAGTACATTTAAGCACAATTTATTCTCACAGTTATCAAATTCTAATGGAAACTCTAATGATCAACCAGCAGAATATGCCAAAGTGTAAAGTAGATGAGATTTTATGATATCATTTTGGCAAGTTTAAACGTTATATATAATATATAATACATATAATACCAAAATGAAAAATGCGTTAACTTTAAGGTATGAAATAAAATGAAAATAAACTTTAGCGGTTTTAGATATTAGTCCCTTACCATAGATATTTAGTATCAATCCCTCAAATCTTCATATTTTGATATTTGTCTCCTAAATTATCTTAATCTGTTGATATTAGTCTTTCTAGTTAGCTGGGGATAAAATAAACAGAGAATATTTTATTTTATTTTACCTTTTTCTTAAAAGAACAATTATAGCCATCTCTTTTCATACCCTTAAAGTGATAGTGGTGACATTTCCGTGGAAGTGGTGATAGTTAGGGGTGGCAATTTATGACCCGACCCATCAACCCGACCCGACCCGACCCGTTTATTACGGGTATGGGTCAAATTATATGGGTTGGGTCATAAACGGGTCAACCCGAACTGACCCGTTTATTATATGGGTAAACTAGGGTCAACCCGTCTGACCCGTGTAACACAAACAACCCGGCGAACCCGCGTCCCTTCCTCAGTTCCTCCCCTTCGTCTCTCGAATAAACGAAGTTATGAAGCCCTAGCATTGCAGCGGCGGATCCCTCGACTAGCTCGAGCGGCGAGGCTTGCCACAACCCCTGATCTCCTCTCTCTCTATCGAGCGTACGGCGGCTGGAGATAGCGGGCGGTGGCGGTAGCGTCCTCGAACAGCCGACGGCGATCCATACAACCCGATTCTCTCTCTCCTCTCGAGCGGGAGGAGCGAGCCTCACGGGCAGCGTGGCGCGGCAGAGCTGGGGCGAGCGATCTCGAAATAGCTCGGCTGGCGAGCCTTCCAACAACCCGATCTCTGTCTTCTCCTCTCGAGCGGACTCAGCGGCAGTGCTGCCGTGAGTAGCTGGGCGGCACTCGGCATGCTATGCATTCCTGTCCTATCGAACCTAGCTGCTTCTAGCGGCGATCCAACAACCCGATCTCTCTCTCTCCTCTCGAGCGACGAGCGGCGGTATGTTTAGTCTTGCCTTCTATCAAGTTTGGGTTTTTTTTCATCCCGTCTTCTTTCAATTTTGAGATTTTCTTGTCTTTATAGTCGTTTAGTATGTTTAGTCTTGAGATCATATTAGTATTGATAAATTTTGCTGAAATTTTGGTTTAATTTGAAAAGTTCCACAGATCAATGAAAATGAAGAATGTCCACCGATTCAACAACACAAATGCGATACTAATTGTGCAAGGTTATTATTGATCATTGACAATGCTAATCAGTGGTACAAGTAACACTAGATTACGCTGGATTATTTCCCAGCAAGGGTATATGAGCTAAGATAATGACACAAGTAACAGAAAAAAGGTAAAGTCCGACGTGGAGCTCAAAGGTGTCGGGAGTGACCAAGGTTAAGAAGAAGAAGTCAATTTAACCCACAAATGCCCGTAGGAATGATATAATCTAGTTAGCCCACAAGTGAAGTGGTGGAAGATCCTACAAATATTTGATAGCCATGTGCCGAATACATGGTTGATAGTTTAAATCAAAGTTAATGGATCTCGTGAAAGATTGAGCTATACTCACAAATAAATGAGAGATTGTTGGATATTCATGTATGAGTATAATCCCCAGCAAACTTAAGACAAGATATATATAAGAACATGTAATCATGAATCAGAATTGTATGAGTATAATCCCCAGCAAACTTAAGACAAGATATATATAAGAACATGTAATCATGAATCAGAATTCTACATGTTTAATTGAATTGTGAATGGTTTATGCTAGTTGATAGTTTACGTGTAGAAAGTCTCCAATTGGTAGGCTACGTATCAATCCTTAATAACCATGGGACAAAGAAATGTTAAGACACATGAAAATTTGTAAGAAACAACAAAAAAATCTTTTATTCCAAAGTTTTAAGGTTGAATACATGGATCTTATGCTTCCGTTCATTTCCACTAGTGGATTCTACATAATATGAAATCAATCCTGAATCAAATCTCATTATAATCTCAAACGGTTACTATTGGGTTAGACATGGACTCTATTGACACAGTTTAGGCCTATATATAATCATGCATGTTCCAAAATTTTCAACTACGGTTGTAGTTGGATGAACAATGAAAAAGATTAAAAAAGTCAATAATTCATAATCTATGTTTTATTAATGATAGATGACATGCAACCAAAATTAGATGAGCTTTCTGAGGATATCATGCAATTAGATATTGGAGAATCTATGCCAACACAAGTATGAATCTCTCATACTATGATGTGGTAGCTGAAGGTAAGAAAATTCATAAGCGAATAATCCTGATCATGTGTTGGTACTGCAGTTTCTTGCTTTTTTCTAGAGGTGGAAGTCAAAACAATGATACTACAAGAGGTCTATCTGCAACCCTTGTTTATGACTAACATTGAATAACAGGATGATGTAAATATACCTTCGTCTGTAGTTACGACTTCCATTCCAAAGAAAATAAGAACATGATATAATCCAGAGCCTACAGATGTCAGTACTAATTTTTACCTGAAAGCTTCAGTTGCTAAATAGTGAAGGGACAAAATAGCTCATATTTGAGTTGACAAAATCTGTACATATTTATCATTATACAGTCTGCAAACTGCCATACCAAAGGCCATATATATATGTTAACTACATGAAAAACAGGGAAAAGGTAACATTCCTTGGATTCTTTTATGCACTTTCCCAGATATGCCCCTAAAATAATATCAATCATATATATATTTACAGAATATATGCAGATTCTACAATCATTACTTTTATCGAACAATTTGTGAATTTCTCATACTTTGTCTTGACTTCATCAATAATAGAACTACATTGGATATGTGCAGGTTATTTGCAGCCAAGG